CCTGACCGGGCGGGGGGGGGGGGGGCGCGGTCCCTCAGCCCAGCCTGCACTCTCTTGCAGTCCAGGACCCCTTGGGGGATGTCTGCCTACTGGCTTAGACCCAATCCCCCCAGACATCGCTCTCATAGCCGGGGGTTCTCTCAGTCCAGGACCCCTTGCTGCTTACCACCTGCCTGCAGCGGAGGTGGGAGAGGCTCCTGCCACTAGCGCTGTACTCACCAACTGTGAGCCTGGCTTCTGGTTGAGCGGCACTCCCCCTGTGGAAGCACACTGACCAACAGGGGGCAGCTCCTGCGTTGAGTGTCTGTCCCCTGGTGATCAGTGTGCGTCATAGTGACCAGTCATTCTGCCGTTAGATCAACTTGCATATTATGCTTTTATTATATAGGATATGCACTAAAAAGAGAATCACCAAAACAAGGACGTATGGTGCTACATTTTCCAAAAATATTTTACTATCTCAGTAGCACATGACCGTGGAACATCTTTTAATCAGGGGTGGGGAACATCCAGCCCACAGGCCATATAAGGCCCATGAAATAATTTTGTCTGGCTCTGCCAATGCATTAGGAGTTAATTAACTGTCTGACAAATATAGCAGGCTAATATTAAGGTAATAATTTTGTATGGCCCACAAATGATGTTATAAATATGCAAATGGACTTTAGCAGAAAAAAGATTCCCACTGCTGTCTTAAATCATAGCATTCTAAGGAATATACTTTGGAAAACAACTGCCACAGGGATGTAGCAAACAAGGCATAAAGACATCTGGTTACTTGTATAGTAAGTAAGTTTCTACCTGGTCATAATTAGTAGTAAGTTTCTACCTGGTCATAAGGCCTAGTCTTAAGACTAGGCCTTAAATATTTTCAAGAATAATATGTAGGTACAGACTAAATCCAACTGCTGTATTATTCATTATACCAATTTTTGTCTAGCAGATGGCAGCATTCCAATCTCTCTGATATAAACAGACAGGACTAAATATTCCAAGACCAAAGACCCATGGACAACATTTATACCAAAACATAGTAACAAGATTTACCTAAGAACCCCAAATACTAGAAAGTGAAAATACTGGTAAACGACTATGCATGGGAGGAAGTGGCTAGGATCTAGTAGGTTACTGACAGTCTTTAGGGCAGGAGAACTCAAAATCACCCACAAGAAAACTCTAGAAAGCATCAAGGGCTAAGGTGAGAACAGAATCCATAGGGCTGAGCTCATGGCTGAGAACAATGGAACCTTGATGCAATAAGGTTTGGCAGAGCACTATCTGAAAATAACAAAATGGAGTGCCCCTTTAAGACAATGTTTCACAATGAGGAGAAATTCTGGACAGAGATCCAAACTGAACAGAATAGGAAAAAGACAGACAAAAAGATTGATCCCGAAATGTGACTAAAATAGAACCAAACAAAGTAGCAAAATCCAACAGATATAAAAAATAAACCTGGTAGTCATAAAATAGAAGCATATCTATAAATTTAAAACATGACCAAGTGAGTTTTACTCTAGAAATGCAATGCAGTTTCATTAGAAGATCCAGTAATATAATCCTACATAATAAAAGCCGAATACGCTAAGTGTCCAGTTGAACGGTCGGCTGTTCAACGAATCAAAGTATAATATGTTAATGCCGCTCAACAGCTAACTATGACGTGCACTGACAACCTGAGGGCAGACGCTCCAACCAGTAGGTTAGCTTGCTGCTGGGTTATGGCCAATAGAGACTGAGAAGATGGGCCAGACACGCCCTGGAGCCCTCCCACGGTCCCTTCCCAGCTGGCCAACCTTTCATGTCCCTCCCCAGCCCCGATCATGCACAAGTGGGGTCCATTTGCCTGGCCTGTGCCCTCTCGTAATCTGGGACCCCTCAAGGTATGTCAGAGAGCCGGTTTCAGCCCAATCCCGCAGGCCAGGCTGAGGGACCCCACTGGTACATGAATTCCTGCACTGGGCCTCTAGAGTGTGTGTGTGTGTGTGTATAGAGGTAATATGCTAATTGGTCCTATGGTGTCCCAGTCACGACCATTCAACAGGCTGCATGCACACAGGATCTGGAGGGCGGGGATGGGGGTGGGGACTTGCGCCACTGAGACATGAGGCTGCCGCCAGGGGCAGTCCCTCCGGCAGATGCACGCACAGGCCCGCTGTGCCTCCTGGCCTGGAAGGGGGTGTCAGGATGGGGGCAGGGCCTCGGCAGAGATCTCTCAGCACTCCTGTGCCAAGGTCTGAAGGCGCGAAGAGAAAGGGAGAGCAGATGGGAAGTTAGAGTGTTTAGGCCAGGAGGGGAGAGCAGATAGGCAGTTACGGGGATCAGGCCAGGAGGGGAGAGCAGTTAGGGGCATCAGGCAGGTGAGCGCTTAGGCACCAGTGGTTCTGGATTGTGAGGAATCCCAGATTGGAGAGGGTGCAGGCCAGGCTGGGGGAACCCTGCCCCAGCCCGCCCCCCCCAACCCCCCCATGCACAAATTTCGTGTACTGGGCTTCTAGTGTTATAAATATTGTAAATGTGCAAATGGAACTTACTAGTGACCTGGTACACAGATTCGTGAACACTGAAAGGAAATCTATACTAATAAAATGATAATATGCTAATTAAGGCAGACATCTTCCAAACGACCTTCTGGATGTCCTTCCGGACAAAGCCGCAGAGGCTGTGAGGGCCGAGATTCAGGCAGCCATGGATGGCTGTGAAGGGCCCAGACTCAAGCCAGTAGTGGCAGGAGCAGCAGGATAATGGGGACAGTGCCTTCCCCTGATCCGCCAGGTCACCTGATGCAAAGGGAGGCCAGACTGTGGCTTAGGCCAGAGGCCGAGGCAAAAGCGGTTAGGGGCGATCAGGCTGGCAGGGGAGCAAGTTAGGGTCAATCAGGCTGGCAGGGGGGCAAGGTAGATGCAATCAGGCAAGCAGGCAGAGGCAGTTAGGGGCAATCAGACAGGCAAGCAAGCAGTTAGGGGCGATCAGGCAGGCAGGCAAGTTATTAGGTGTCCCAGATTGCAAGTGGGAAGTCTGACTGCCAGCAGTTGGATATCCCCCGAGGGGTCCCAGATTGGAGAGGGTGCAGGCCAGGCTGAGGGACCCCTTGCCATACACTAATTTCATGCACTGGACCTATAGTTAATTAGAAGGTGGCTGGTGGGGGAGGACTGGGCAAGACAGGCCGGACACGCCCTGGAGCCAACCTCCCATGGTCCTTCCCTGGCTGGCTACAGCTGGGGTGGCTCAAGGCTCGAAGGGCATCTGTGGAGTGAGCGAGTCCCTCGGCCTGGCCTGCGGGAGTTGAGCTGAAACTGACTAACATCCCCTGAGGAGTCCCAAGTATGAGAGGGCACACTGCAAAGTTGGTGTCGTATAGGGTGTGGAATGCAAACACAAGTGAGCCAGATTCGAGGCTGACAGTACCCCAGCAACAACATAACCCACGGCTGAAGGTGGAATTTCACGGTCCAGCGAGGAATCAGGCTCCCTCCTGTTTTCGAGGTGCATTACCCGAAAATCGCTGCTGCCAAGTTACTGCAGCTCGGCAGCTCCTGCGTTGAGCTTCTGCCCTTGGTGGTCTACGCACATCATAGTTACCAGTCGGACAGACACTTAACATATTAGATACACACACACATATATATATAGACTAGAGGCCTGGTGCACGAAATCAGGCCGGGGGGGCGGGTCCTTCAGCCCAGCCTGCACTCTCTCACAGTCTGGGAGCCCTTGGGGGATGTCCGACTGACAGACAACCTCAGCAATTGAGCTGCCCTCTTGTGGTCAGTGTGTGTTACAGTGACCAGTTGTTCCACCGTTCGGTCAATTTGCACATTAGCCTTTTATTAGTATAGGATTATACTAATAGACCTAAGAAGAAAAGTCATAAAAACATATTCACAAATGCAAAAGAAGCATTTGAAAATTTTAACACACATTCATGTTAGAAACAATAAAATAAAAAACTATGGATATTTCCTTACCGTGATATACCTCAGGTCAAAATCTAGCAACTATCTAAATGGTGAAACCTTAGCGCTTTCCTCTTTCCTGAGTTGTGACAAAAGCATTGAATATCTCTACTCCTATTACCCACTGTATTGAGGTGATGCTAAACATGGTTAGACAAGAGAAAGTAGTTAAGGCCATACAAATTGGATAGTAAAAGGCAACACTGTCTCTATTTACAAATGATATGAATGCATATCTGAAAACCCCAAAAGAGACATTGTAAAGACTATTACAAACAGTAAGAGAATTTAATAATGTAGTAGGATATAAAATCAAGACATAAATATCAACAGCTGTCAAATATGTAAACAAAAAAGCAAATATAAAACAATTCATTTATAGTAGCAAAAATAAATAAATATTTATATTTATTTTTAAATACAGACTGAGGAGGAAGATAACAGCCAGGAATATACACAGGCAATTCACAAAACAGTAAAATGAGCAATGAACAAAATAACAAATTACCAGATTTACTAAAAACAAATAAAAACACGCACAATTTATTTCCCTAACTAAATCTGAGAAAGATTAAAATTTTCCCAATGTTGATGAATACTGGGAAAAAATGGGACCTCCCCATTACCACTGATAGTAGTATAAACTTATACCATAATTCAGATAAAGAATTTTGCAAAAAATATCAAAAGCACTAAATATTGGCACATTTATCATCATAAAAATCTTTT